GAGAGAGAGAGAGAGAGAGAGAGAGAGAGAGAGAGAGAGAGAGAGAGAGAGATTCTGGATTCCAGTGATGTTAACATACGGCGTTGATCTGATGTCATTAGTGTTTTAAACTAACTGGTCCTGAACGCGTCTTTACATTGTGAACATGTGACGTTAGTGTCAAACCATTACGGCACGGACTGCAGCGAACTTGATGCTCGCCACTCTGCACACTTTGCAAGCTAATCACGGCTGAGACAAAATATTACTAATTACAAACACACGCTGTTTTAATGATACAAATAGTGTTGCTGTTGTGTTATAAGCTAAAGGCAACGTTAAAATGTCCATTTCGACACCGTTAGTATAACGTGAGCTAGTTACCGTGATTAACGTTGCGTAAACTGCTGTGCCAACGTTAATTAGGAGCAATTACCGTGGTTAAAACCTATTTCGGAAGAATATCGTCGTTGATAAAAGTGTAGCTAACCCACACGATTCTTCCAGTCACTGGAGAAAAGCACAAACGTCCTTACCTCTGCTGAAATCCTTCTGGACTGTGTGAAGACCCTCTTGGATTGTGTTGCTTGCTCTGACACAACTACCACGCGCTGCAGGAGAGCCCCGCCCAGCTGGCTGCGGGCGAGCTGCCATTGGTCAGTTGGAATACAACTGCAGCCAGACTGAGGCTTCTTATTGGCCAGACCCAGCTGCCAATCTATTCGGATTCTTCTTCCCGCGTTCTAGGCAGCGCTCACAATACATTACATGGTGCAGCCTATATTTAGGTGTCAACAACTGCAGATGTGTGAAAACAAGTACACAGTGACCTTCAGTATTACAATAACGTAGAGTAAGACAAATGTCAGCAAATTGATGTTTTAATGTCAAGGGAAACAATTCAAGCTGTCACAGTAATGAGCAATTTGTGGAAAAACTACAATGTAACAACATCAATTTAACTCAATTTGGAAAGCCTGTGAATCGACATTGTATTTTTATATGCAAAAAAACCAATGGGTGTTTCTCATTGGCAACCAAAAAAGATAAAGGAAGACAATAACATGAACAGAAACATCCTCGTGTCCCCTAGGGAGAATGATTCGTCACTAGTGACTTTGACTCTTAGTGCCAGCTATGTTGGATTAGCTGTCTCAGTAGTGCAAGACGTCTACAGCGGGCAGTGCTGCTCGCAGGATGTCGGTGAACACGGCTACACTCAATCTTTCATAACAAGAGGAGCCTTGACTTGAGCTGCAACCTCAGTCCCCAGAAGTTCCTCTACAATCGTCAGGGCAAACTCAAAGCTGGTTCCTGGCCCACGGCTGGTGATGTAATGTCCATCCTTCTGTACTCGAGCCTCTGAATATTTATAGTGGTCTAAAAAAAAGACAGAGCAAAACCATAAGGTTAATCACAGCATGAGGTTCAAGATAAAGACTGAAAGCCACACGTCAGACATCACACTGTAACATATATTCTTACATATAGATCATCCAGCACCAGTTTAACTGACCCAGTTCTAGTATGTTCATCTGCTGTCATCTGAGTGGTGTGCTCTCTACACTACTGCATAGAGACATGACTTTCAATAGGCGAGAAAAAAGCTAATACAGCACCATCTGCTGCCCTTTGGAAATAATTACAATTCCTCATGTTTTGGGTTAAAGCTGCAAATGTTAGTCACTAGCTGTACTTTTCAGCAATACTTCCACCCTTTTTACCAGCCGCGACGACGACCCTGGATTTAGTAGTTGGAATTACCACAGAGGCCGTTTTGAGTTGCCAGGTGTTCATATTTCTGTTTGTCTATGGTCAGATTGCACTGCAATAGCGTTGCAACTGTGCAATATGCAGTCACGAAACTTCGAAAGGAGTGTAGCTGTGATGAAAATGAAGGTTGACGTCGTAGATTGGCGTGGTCCCAGCAAGGGGGGCGAAGGGGACATTGCAGTCGCAGCTGGTGTGATCCCTTCAAAAGATGGTCTCTAGTGTTTGCAAGTGTTGTTGTTGTTGTTTTTACCTCCAGCCATCATCTTCTCCTTCATAGCAGGATGTGTAGTGACTGTGCTGCCGTACCCGATGCCATGTGCCAGAAGAGCAGTGGGACCTGCAGAAGAGCAAAGCATTTAACTGCTTCCTGTGATAAGGCGACACTTGTTCTTCTGCTTGTGTCGGTCCAGTTTATACAGAGTCGTGGGTAAAACACTATATCCTCAAAATCACTTCCCTCAAGCTCGACACTAAATCAAAATACAATGCTGCATTGAACAGTAGGAACTGCAGTTAGTACACAACAATATTTATAAAAAGGTGTCGTCAGCTGTGCCGTTGTTTCTAAGAATACTCGTACAATATAGAGTTTCACACTCTCTCCAAAGACTCTGCAGCACATTGAAAGGAGAGAAGAAAAAAAAAAAAAAAAAGGAGAGGCTGAAGACATTGACTGCTGCTGCATTAACTTTGGCAACATCCTACCACTGCAGTGAGCTCATCCAAAAACTGTTAATAAATAGAAAGTTATTGATTATGCTACTTGGCTGCCTTCCCATGCAGTCTAAAGATTACACTTTCCCGTGGCAGAACAGAAGACTGCCAGTTAAAGCCGAGCAACTCCAGTTACAGAAAGTCCCCACCCAGAGGACACCCGCCTGGGAGAGAGAGACCTTCTGAGAACCAGAGGCAGACGTGGAAATAAAGGGTTATGATGACCAACTCTCTATTTGTGTCTATGTTTTGTGGACTTGCATGTAACAAATATTAGCTCAAAAAGAGAAATAGACAATAAAAGGCTCATCCTGCTAGTTTTGTTTTTATTACACTCATTGTTCTGGTTTTTAATAAAGTGCTTTTTGAACCGACCTTTTTTTTTTTTTTTTTTAAATCACGATAATAATTTGCATTATAGGGCAGAATAATACATCTTGCAACTGGCCCTCTTCCTGGCAGGTTCATTAAACTGTATATTCCTGTGAGGGTTTCAGCAATTTTCTAGGACATCCTTCAATCCACTTTGCCGCATTGGTCCCCGTCCCTATTCAAAATGTCCTTCCAATGTCCTTCCTCTGCATATGGAGGCTTTCAAAAAAAAAAATGTCAGTGCTTGTGGGTTCACTCAGGGACAAGTCATTAATCAAACCCTCACTCTTTCATTCCAAATGCCAAAAAGGAGGGTCACACTTGATCGTATATTAATCTGCTAACTGTATATTTTTTTTAAATGTTGTTAGGATATATGATAAACTCTTCCTAGGGCACAACCAGTTACTAAATTACCAGACATCCACTGCCATGAGCATACAACTGACTAATCCAATTTACTGGCACAATATTAGCGTGATACATTTAAAACCACAGTATCAAACAGTTTGTGTTGTTTCTACCTAAAATGTTCACAGGTCTCATGATAGCATAGTGCAGTGTTTATTAATTTGTGTCAAACTGGTTTGATTTGGAAAATTAGTACATTTAGTGCTCCATTACTGAAAGCCTCTGAATTAAGTGCACTGTGTAGGTTGAGGAATTTACATCCATTTGTTCAAAGCAACAACACGATGCTATTGTATAATTATGACTTTGGTGTGTTTTCACAGACTGTACCTGCACAGATGGCTGCAATCAGGCCTTTTCTGGCATCTTGATCCTTCAGCACCTGCTTCACTGCAGCAGACTGCAAGAGAGCATGCGAAGCAGATGCACACAGAGTCAGGAAGTCACTTGCAGGCCGTGTGATTGCACAGTGGATATGCTGACTGTATAATCATTGAAAATAACTGGCAATGTGTGTGAACACATCAAAAATAAACCATCACTGTTTCAATACAACCACAGATTTATTAAAACAAAAGCAGCATCTCAACTAAACATGGATTTTGCCGGATCTCATTTGTCAGATGCACTTGATTAAAATACTGACTTTAGTATCCGTTCTACTTCCTGAGAGCATCGTAAGAGTGAGCATTCACTGCTGTATGCACGGAGGCAGAGATAATGAGAGAATACATCAAAATCTTCTTGTAATCTCAATTCTGAAGCCCCAAAATATATGTTTAAAGGGTGCATGTACAACCAATGATGATGGAAAGAAATACATTAAAATGAAGAGTGAATCACTGAAACTCTAAATTATGAGCAGCTCATAGTGGCATCTGAGAAAAACTAAAAAGAAATCACAGATTAAGGAAAAGCATTGGAGAAATGAGCCAGAGGGAGTTTCGTATAGAGCTGAGCGATTGAGGAGGAAAAGCAAACTTACGATCGACAAATCATTTATTTTCAAATCCATATATGTTTACGAAACAAAGCGTTACCCTGTGAAAGGCATATTCCTCTAAGATTATCAATGAAAGTGGGAAAAACAACAATTTAATTCTCAACCATTGATCGCCTATTGCATCCTTCCCAGCTTCGTGACCAAATATACCTCACAGTCAAAATGTGAGGAGCTTGGGTTAGGTTAGATAGTATTGCACATTCTGTCCATAATCAATAAAAATCTGACCGTTGGAGTCTCTTCGAGAAATTAGAATTCTGGTCAAATGAGTGAAGGAGGGACTCCGTATAATCATCATGCAGTTGAGGTCTTCCACTGGATGCTTGTATGCAATTTCCACTATTTTCTTTTTTTGGACAGTTTTACTTGTGATGTACTAGATATTGTTGATTGCTTTCTAGAGACCGATGCACTTTAAACAGCTCTGGTCAAGCCTCTACTCCAAAAACAATATTCTGGATTCTTCTGTTTTTGAGCAACTTTAGGCCTATTTCCAACCTGCCGTTTTTTTTTAACACGATATTGGGAAAGGCAGTATTTAAACTGTTAGATGCATTCTTACAACAACATCGATGAGACATTTCAGTCCGCTTTCAGAAGGGGACGCAGTGCCGAGACGGAGCTTGTAAAGGTCATAAATGATCTTAGAGTCCAGATAATAAAAATGTCTCCATTCTTGAACTTCTTGATCTAAGCGTTGTATTTGATACAGTCACGAGATGCTTCTAAAACAACTTGACAATTGTGTTGGTCTCTCAGAAACAAACTCCCATCACAAATAAGACAAGCAGCCTCTGATGATTGATTGAAGAAAAAGCTCAAAACTTATTTTACAATCTCGGTTTTAATTTCACTCCATTTGACCATAAAATGATGCAGGTTGTGTACCAGACTTGTCACGTGCTCTTTTGAAGTCTCTGTTTACTTCCTGAATGTTTGCCCAATCCCCTCGAACCCCAGAAACAAAACACAGCTGTGAGATTCACACTCCTAAACACATCTTCGACAGATCTGGCAACCACATGTTGTGAAGTGAACGCTCGGGGAGGGAGAGTGCGACATCTAGTGGCTGAACGTTATCATTGTTATCAATAGCACCTTTAATTAAGGCACGGTCACACATGCGCAAATGCAGGCCACTAACCATCGCATGCCGAGATGAGATTCATCCTTCAATTTCACCAAAGTTGAACCCCACGTGAATGCTAAAATTCTAATTTCTTTTGCTAACAGAAGCAAATATTGTTTCACCCCTTTGCTCACCCACAGTTGAAGTAAACGGTGAGCGAATATTCATTTTGCGCACTTGTGACCAGGCCTTAAACTCTCAACAAATTAAACACAAGAATGTTTTTTTTCCCAAAACTTTAACTTTGATTGCTTTTTATTTAGTCACAACTATTATAGATTATAGTTCTATAGAGGAATATTTGAAACCAAGTTTTCCAGCAAATTTAGGCAATTTATGTTCCTGATATTGTTATTCAACTTGGCTTGCTTTGCTACTAATTTTCACATTATTAATTGTAAGAATATATATTTTTTTCACATGGGATTGACAATGGCATGACATTTCTTCTTCCAACAGGGGATATAATGAGATACAGTTTAAGAACCACTGAGCTACTCTACTGTCCTGCTCCCAAGCAGGGTTAACCCGGGCTCTTAAAAAAGAAAAAACTATATGTGATCGGTACTCTAACTTAAAAAGACCATAAAAAAACATTTACAGGCAGGTGATCCAAGTGTTTCTCACCTCTGCTAGATTCTGGGCCCCTGGCATTCCTCCTGGCAGAAGCACCACATCGTACGGGCCCTGGGAGACAAACCATGATTGATAAAGAGAAACTGTGAGGTTTGATATTGTAGGCAACTATTCAGAAACAGAATCATTGGAGGATTTCACGATTAGAAACAGGGTTATTGCCTAGAAAGTTTTCACATATAAGAAATTAGTCTTGGTGTTTAGTGCATAACAATAAACATACAGAAAAATGTAGAGAAAATAAAAGATAAAAGCAAGTACTAAGTAAAAGATATTGTGCAATATATATGTTTTAAAAATGAAGAGCTGAATTGTTTTGTGCAGGAATGTGCAAAATACTGTCTGAGAAATATGCAAAAGTTCACAAAGTTTTATTCAACATGGTTTGATTAATGGAACGGATTAAACTGAAATCCATACATTACAAAATATGAAATATAGCAACTGTTTTAAGGTTTAATGAGAGAATTGTAGATGGATGCTGAGCCCACCTGTGTGCTTGCCTCTTCCAGGCTCGCATCAGGACAAATGACGACGTTTCTGCTGCACTGGACTGGCTCTTTGCCCGTCAGCCCTGCAACCGTCACTGCAATCTACAGGTGTGGGTAGGTCATATAACAAGAACATTAGCATAAAGGCATGACATGGCATCCTGTCTGTATATACGTATGGCTGATGGAGACTTTTATTTTGAAGGCCATCAAATGGGGGAGAATGACGTTGTACTTTGACATTTAAGTTGGCCTCTTTCTGCACTCGCTTTAAAGGTTATGAGTGCGTCAACAGTCATCCAGATACCGTATTATACATCAGTATAGTATTACAATTCCAACATCAAAACTGTGACCGGTCAAGTAACGTTAATAAAACGATATTGCTTCCGTTAGTTATTTAATAATAACGTTAAGTTTTACAAATTATTTCAATCATGATCACAGTGACTGCATGTCTAAATGAGGCTGTGGTGTTGTGGACTGACTACAGGAGGTGGCTAACGTCAATATACAACTCATGCAAGCTGGCTAAACTATGCTGATCAATGGTAGTATTAGCTAGCTAGCTAAGTGACTGCTAGCATACAAGTCACAAACCCCGGCTCTACGCATGATGTCCACGGGGATGACTGTTTCCATCTCCTCTGCACCTTTAGACAGGATCACCAACGCCCTCTTGCCTGCCATGGTTAGCTTGTAGTTATGCTACTGGCAAATGCAAAGACGCTAACTTCAGTGTGCAACTTCCAGCAGCGACTGGCACGCTCTGCGATGAGGTTTTGACAGGAGGAGGGTTGCCAGGCTGCGTCCCTCTATCCCCCTTTCAAAGACAGCGCTCCATGAACCCCTGCCTACACCGATAAAACACACATGTCAAGTATGACACATTACCTACGAAATTAGTTTCACGGCTTCAACCAAAGTATGAATCAAATTAATATGAATAACTGTAACAACCTTCAAAAAATAAGGAATGTAAGACGCTTGCAGGGGTAGTTTTGGAAGCTCAACCAGACTCGAGCAGCTTTAAATTTTAATTTTGATACCATATTGTTCGTGTGTAAAAAGTTTGTCCATCAGATTAAGCATGGTCACAAATACTGGACTCACACGAGAGATTCATTATTTCAACGTAAGTCATTGATAAGAATAACAATGATAATATTATTTGTCGTGAAAACACATCTGGTCGATTTCAGTGTTTGTTTTAATAAACCGTAAGCATGAGCATTAAAATGATTATTCAGTTTCATTTGTGCACGTAGCCTATACAAGAAACACCACTATTGCATTCTGAAGGCGATCCAGCTTTTGTTTCCATAAAAACTACCCTCATAAGATGATGAATGTATAATTACTGTATGGTACACCACGAGAAACAAAACATTCCTAGTCAGTGATACTTTATCTACAGGCAGCCACATCAAAGCATGGAGCATAAAATGGCCTTGAACAACAGTCACCACGTACTTTCTGCCAGTAGGTGGAGGCATTAACCAAAGATTCCTGAGGGGACGTCAAGGTAAGCTTGAGAATGAAGTTTACATTAAACAGTAACCTTCACTGTCTTGAATTTAAGGAAAGTGAACCTCGGAGACAACTCCACAAATGCTATTTTTAAAAGCATGAATCCACGTATCAGTTAATGCCAGTTAATCACAGGTTTATGATCAGCTGTAAATTGCTATGCAGAGAGCTAATTCAGGAGCATAATTAATGTGGTTTTGAAAACAACCCCAGGCAGCAGGACACCGGGTTCACCAACTTCTTCAAGATCTGTCTGAGAACTTCTGCACCAAACTCTTAAGACAGTGAGGGAATCATATTCCAGTGTAAATCCTAGACTTAATGTCTGGGGCTTTGGCGTGCAGGCACCCATCCCCGTTAATGTGCCTCTGTGCATTCTGCTGCTGAGATCCACTTTCATATTTGTGCGACAAACTAGAGCCCAGTGAAACGGCAGATTAGACAAAAGCGTAGGGGGTGCTGGCAGCAGGTTGTTCATTGCGTGCCTGTGAGTGAATCCAAGAGGCAGCGGTGATTACCAACATATGCAGCTGGGGATCAACTGAACCAGACCCGCGGTGACACTCGAGCTAATTTCCATACATTAATTCACTTATGTACATTTACTAATTCCTTTCAGTATGTAGTCATAAAGTGCAGGATTACACTGAGGGAATATTTCAAAGTGACAGTTAGTCAGGGGGACACGTAATGTCTGAGACACTGAAAACAAAGTGTCTGACCAACAATTGACGAATTATAACTATTTGCACAGGGCTTCAACGTCTCCTCTCAAGCCGGTTCAACTCTTAAAATAAAGCAATCCCTGGAAAATAATGAAAACACATTAAAGAATAAGTCTGGCGATTTGTATTTTCATCATTGACAAAAAAAAGCCCATTAAAAAGACCAAAACTATCAATAAATGGATCTGACAAGTATTGTCTCTGTAGCCAAAGCTGAGCTTATTCCTTTGTGCCATAGATGACTACAGTTATCTTAAAACTTTTAAAAACACTTATTTGAGCCACATTGTTGCCCTGGATTTGTTTATTTTACGATAAACACTGTAGTTTATTCAGCCAGTCAGTCCCACATACACCGCCCTGTTGTCACGAATGAGTATAGCACTTATTATTCCATGACAAAAGTTCAGTAGGAAACAACATTTGGTTTTGGTCTTTTAAATATAATACAATGCTAAACATATCCTTTAAAACGGCAAAAACACTGCAAACATGCTTTGGAAAATGGCATATATTTTGCATATGAACCAAATATACAAAATGTTATGAGCCAATAGTGTGGCTTGGTAGAAAATGGTGATTAACTGTGTATATGGTACATGCAGTACAGAACAGTTTGTATGTTCTTCTTGGGATATTTGAGATTGGCCTGTTGAGTAAAAGGGTGCACATCAGTGGATTCCTTTGCGTATTATTATTTCTCTCTTGCTCCCTCATGCCTGCTCCACGAGGCCTTGCTCTGCTTTATCTGGCCCTTCGCAGAGGTCTCCTCGAAAACCTGAAGGGCTTCTGGAATCAAACCTCCGGGGAGTCGAGAATACAGAAACATCTTTTTTATAAGACGGGGACAGAGGAAAAAGAAAATCCTCAAACTGAAATGAGGGAATTCCACAAATTACCATTTGTCACAAAGTAATCCTGTTACTATTGCAAAGAATATGAAACGGTGTAAACATGAAAATAAACTGCTAATATGGATGTAGCTTACAAGCAGAGGCTCTGTTTAGTTGAGATACAGCTGCACAAACCTGTTTCAGATCCCCAGTAAGGAAGAGTGCCACGAAATTCAAAAGTGGTTAGAGAATATTTGCTTCTATGGGGATAGATTGAAATTTTCCGATGTTTTTCTTCATTTATTCTTTGCATTGCTACATTTCAACTCATTGTGGTCCAACCCTTCGCTAACTCTGACTCTTTCCCAGTGATCTAATGGCAGCATTAAGGGCTTACATTGCTGCAGTGAGAAAACTGATGAATATTTAGAAGCATTTTATCTTCCCATCTGTGCACAGGCTTTATCTTGTGTCTGTTTCACACATTGTAAGCCACTGAGCGCATGGAATGAGTGACAAGCATATAATCTTGATTGCATCTTGACGCTATTACCTTATGCCGCCAAGTGCTCAGGTGACAGCTGGGGGACAGTGAGGAGATCTGGGGGAAAAGGTGACATTGAATTTATTGCACCTGTGTCGACAGTCAGCAGCCCCATGCAGACACAAGATGGCGCCAGTTGAGTAGACTAGTTCAAAAAGCAAGGCCAAGCGTGTGAGAATATTTTCAACAATAATCTCTGCAAATTACATAAAGAAAATAATACGAAAGGAAAGTTGACTTTGTAAAGGTACAACAAAGACGATTCGTTCTCCTCTATGTCAAATCATCAAAAGTTTTCAGATGTTCAGTATATTTTACCAACTAAAGATAAACTGAACAAAGATGTGTTTGGATGTTTGTCTCAACATCCGTTTCACAATTTGTTTTAAATGCTTTGGAATTATTCAAAATTAAATTCCCATAAATTCAACGCATGAGAAATTGTTTTCAGCTACAGAGGCAGTATTACAAATTAAGGCAACACATAAATGTGTTGTTTAGATTATTAGGTATGTTTGACAACATGAACCACAATTGCCTCACAGTCATTTCTAGTTTAAATAATCTGCCTTTCCTCAAATTATGCCCCAATCCGTGTGTTACGAGGGGGGCAAAAGTGACTCCTTTTTTTTTATTCTCCCTCTCTGTCTCAGTGAGTATCAGTCTGTTTTTCTCTCAGCTTGCCTCTGTTAGATGCCTTAATGCTGTACAGCGTGGCCTATCTTCAAACAGGAATGCTGATGATCGCCCTGCAGCGGTGCTCCCCCCCCAGCCCCGGCCCCGGCCCCGGCCTGCTCCTCTACACAGAGGGCAATAAAGACACAAGGAGGATTAGTGTTGTGTGCCTAACAAAGTGGTTGCCAGAGAGTGAGAGGGCCATGCCCATGGGCTCAACCGCAACCCTGCTCAGCTCCACTCGGCTCTGTCGAGGTCCCCCCCTGCTTGGGCTTCCCTAAGGTCCGCTCCCTCTCAGGGAGCTCTGTGGATGTGTGATAGACTCTGAGTGGGTGAATTTATGTTGATGCTAAAGAGGCAGAGGACGCAGACAGATAATCCACAGCTTAAGCAGTGCTGTAGTAACTGTCCCCCTTAAACAAGGGAACATATGTGCAAACAGTTAAATTTAATTCAATCACATACTCGGGCTGTGCATATTTTTCGCTAAAGACTTCCCACAGTGAACTTAGACAAAAAAAGTTCCAACTCTTTGACTAGTAGGCACTTAAAAATTAGCATGAATAAACACATGATGATTTAGTTTAGCCTACACAGGAACCTGTGTCTTTCTGTGTTGGTTTATCCCACTCACCATCCAGTGGGAAAAAACATGGTTTGTTATAGAGCACGGGTAGGTTAAAGACCTTGCAGTATGTTTATGGATATCTCTCCCACTATAACCAGTGTGCTTGTATAAATTGAACACCATATAATTGTACAAGTCTGATGAACAGAGGCGCCGTGGTGTTGTAAATGTCGTCACATTAGATAGGAGTGTTACATCTGAGATTACTATGGAGGAACATGTCTGTGGGTGCAGGCCTGTGAGGACAGTAGCCTCTGGTTTGATGGAGAGCCGTGTACAAGACAGGACAGGTGAACCAAACAGCTGTTACCCCCGTTTTTCCTTAAAAACCCCAGCGTGACAGATCAGGCCGTGGCTCTCACACATTACGGCCCGCTTTTCACACGGTAGCTGTCTCAGGCCACGTTACACACGTCTTTTAGATGGTCCACTTTGTGCGTTAGGTAATGAAATTTACTACGGAGACCCCCGAATATGCAGACATATGGTGGCTATTAATGCTCCTTTCTCCCCTTTCAGCTGCAGCCCTCTGCCAAACAGTAAGGTCTGTTCCCGCCTGTCTGTTTTGGGTCCTCTTCACTCTTCAAGCTGTTTGCCTTTTACCTCTGTCACGCCAACCAGGATTCACACAGCAGCATGAACTGCTGCGTGCTGAAGACAGGCCAAGTTCTGTTAATACTTGGCTAAGTTTACATGTTCATTCACACTTGATTATGGGGGAAGCCCTGTGTTCTGAATGGTTTCAGTATGTCAGAGAGGCACAATATGGAAGGGGTCATCCCTTTAACTGTAGATACACAATGGAAATCCAATACTCAACAAAAATATTGTTATATTATTTCCAAAATAAATTTAGAAAAAGTGC